TTTCCTCCATCTTTCCCATTACCCTCAGCCTTCAACAATGGTGAAATCAGCAACATGAGTGAGGAAAGAAGTTGGAAATATAGGGGAGTAACTGTGAAGGAACAGACAATGTGCTCCACGTCGCTGTACATTTTCAAGGCAAAAGTCAGGCCTGAACATGCGGCAAGGGAAGAAAAGAGCATTGAATTGTACATGAGACTGAAGTTTTGTTTCAGACTAGATAATTTTTTTAAAGTCTGATAATAGACTATCCTAAGGTATTTGTCACTGATATGTTAGCTGTCTATTACATTGAAAAATACACATTCCAGGTGTAATAGTATAGCGTATAGTACTGAGAATCTATAGAATCCTCCAGGGGCAGAGAAGACATAGCCAAGTGGGGGTATTTAATGGCAGCAAGTGGGGAAAAATTGAGTCGTATCTTATTCAGACCCTCTGGGGCTTAACCCATTTAATCAACTATCTGTAAAAAACACACACGTGTGTATTTGCCCATACATACATAGTTGTCCCTTGGTATCCACAGGGGATTGGTTCTAGGACCTTTGCAAATACGAAAATCTGTGGATGCTCAAGTCCCTTATATAAAATGGAGTATTATTTGCATATAACCTATGCACATCCTCCCATATACTTTAAATCATCTCTAGATTACTTATAATACCCAATACAATGCAAATATTGTATAGTTGTTATGCTGTACTGGTTATTTTAGTTGTATTATTTTTATTGTTGTTTTGCTTTTTTTAAAAAATATTTTTGATCAGTGGTTTGTTGAATCTGCAAATGCAGAACCTGCAGATATGGAGGACTAATTGTATCATGTACACACACACATATGACAAACTTTGCTTAATCTCATTGACAGTACAACTATAAGTGAATAGTGAGTCATCCAAGGAACAGGACATCTTCTATTCATAAGGCCCTTTATGCATTTTCTAATATAACCTCTCATCCAATGGAGCAGTCTTTTCTACTACATTATGTACAGGGAACAGTAACAATAAAAATAACCAGAATGAGTTGAATACCAACGATGTAGAAAACGTGGGCTAAACAATTTATATAAGTACTGCTTCATCTCACCCTCATTTAATTTTTTAAGGGGTAGATAATCATGTTCTCATTTTAGAAATGATGAAACAAACTTAGAGAGGTTGAGTGAAGTAAAAGCTCTAAGATTTAGATCAAGGCCTGCATATGTTTCAAAATATGTCTTTGTTCTTTTTTTATTATTATTATACTTTAAGTTCTGGGTTACATGTGCAGAACGTGCAGTTTTGTTACATAGGTATACACGTGCCATGGTGGTTTGCTGCACCCATCAACCCATCATCTACACTAGGTATTTCTCCTAATGATATCCCTCCCCTAGCCACCCCCCAGCCCCCGACAGGCCCCAGTGTATGATGTTCCCCTCCTGTGTCTATGTATTCTCATTGTTCAACCCCAACTTGTGAGTGAGAACATGTGGTGTTTGGTTTTATGTTCCTGTGTTAGTTTGCTGAGAATGATGGTTTCCAGCTTTATCCATGTCCCTGCAAAGGATATGAACTCATCCTTTTTTATGGCTGCATAGTATTCCATGGTGTATATGTGCCACATTTTCTTAATCCAGTCTATCACTGATGGACATTTGGGTTGGTTCCAAGTCTTTGCTATTATGAATAGTGCCGCAATAAACATACGTGTGCATGTGTCTTTATCATAGAATGATTTATAATCCTTTAGGTATATGCCCTGTAATGGGATCGCTGGGTCAAATGGCATTTCCAGTTCTAGATCCTTGAGGAATCGTCACACTGTCTTCCACAATGGTTGAACTAATTTACACTCCCACGAACAGTGTAAAAGCATTCCTATTTTTCCACAACCTCTCCAGCACCTGTTGTTTCCTGACTTTTTAATGATCGCCATTCTAACTGGCATGAGATGGTATTTCATTGTGGTTTTCATTTGCATTTCTCTAATGACCAGTGATGGTGAGCATTTTTTCATATGTCTGTTGGTTGCATAAATCTCTTCTTTTGAGAAGTGTCTATTCTGTCCTTTGCCTATTTTTTGATGGAGTTGTTTTTTTTTCTTGTAAATTTGTTCATATATTCTTAACTTCACAAAGTCTGCTTGAGAATTTTTGGAAAGGGAGACATACTGTAGAAAAATTCCAATCCTTTATAGTACATGTCATATTATTATGAGATTCTTCTGTACATTAAAACTCAAATACTTTTCTGTATAACTTTTACCCACAGATTCTGCTTCAAGTCTAATCTACTAGGTTGGTACAAAAGTAATTGCGATATTTGCCGTTACTGTTAATGACAAAAGCCACAATTACTTTTGCACCAACCTAATGTCTTCAACATGGCCTCACATGGGAGAACATGGCTGTTCATTAATTTATCCATCCAATGAGGATGTATTGGTTGTCTAGTCTAAGCCACATACTGTTCTAGGTGTTGAAGTTAACAGAATGAACAAGACAAAGTTCTTGCCTGCATAGAACATATATCCCATCAAATATCTTCTCATAGATCTTCCCTCATTCACTCTAAACATGCTCAGTCCCTTCTTTTTTCTCATTGAAAGTTTTTAAAAATTAAAAACTATATATACGTTATCTAGAACACAGTGGGCTACACTCTTATGCAAATGTACTTATAATTATTATACTTACAAAAGCAAAAAAGAAAACGCTAAATATCTAAGATGGTGTAAAAGTTTGATCTCAGTTTTCTGTGTGTGCATGTGAGTGGGCTTGCCCATAAATGCACATAGAATAAAAGACTGAAAGAAAATACATCGAAGTCTTAACAACAGTTATTTAATGGTTGGTTAACGTTAATCATGTTTTCTGTGTTTTCTATCTTTTCTATAACAAACATCTTAAAGTGTAATGTGCATGTGTACTCTGTACAGGGCATTGAAGGAGGCCCTGCAGTAACTGTACAATCACCACAGTGGAACATCTGGTCAGGAATTGCAGTGTTTATAAATTAAAATGAGTATTTACATGAATGCACATGTATAAGTAACTGTATGACCAATTTTTATTTTCCATGACTCACTTTTTATCCCATGTTTGTTTCACACCATCATCTACATAAGTTACATTTCCTCATGGTCAGTTGAAAGCCAACCATGTTTAATAACAGCATAAGAAAAGTACATGGAGGAAGATAAACGTAATGGTGGCAAAAGGATAACCACCATGAGTTCAGAGCCAAGTATAAAATGATTTTTGATTATACTCTCTTTTGGTTTATCTGAGTTCCTGATTGCCTCTACATACAAAGATCACTGATCAGTGAACATTTATTTAGCAATAGTTTTGACCATTGATGCAGAATCATAACAGCTTTATAAAATGAATAACAAATTTATAAAAACTCAAACTCCCATTTTGAAGATAAATGACTACTCTTTTCATAGCAATGAACAGTTGGAGGCTAAATGTCTTATATTTTGACATTATATGCTTACAATTTGTCACCAGTATTTTAGCTGTCTATTAAATTGTAAAATATATGTTTGTACATCCTGAGGTTTAATGGCATGGCATGCAGTAATGGCAGTAGCTAATAACTAATAAGAAATAAGCAAATGACCTGTTTGGGAGGGGCGCAGAGTGGATTAAAAGTGCTATTAGGTAAAATTGATTTTTGATTTTACAGATTTAAAAAGCTGTATTTCTGGCATCTGTATTCCAATAGAAAAATAATACAGGTACATTATACTATTTGTTACTCTAGAAGATAAAAAAGTATTAGAGATATCTCTATTCCTTTCTCCATGACCATATAAAACCTAATGTTTATCTTTGGAGGCATGGGACTTAATAAGTTGTGTAAATATTTCTCCAGTATTCAGCCCACCTCTATTATAACCACAGACCTCCTCCATATGTCATCTTATATTCTAGATATGGGAAATAATGTGGAACATGGTCTAACATTTCTCATTATGTCAAATTCAGCACAACCAAACATAAACTCAAGCCAGCAAAAATATGGGATTACATCTTTGTTATTTTCCTGAAATGCATTTTGGAGAGACTGCTCAACCAGTATGAGACAATGTACACTGAATCCTAAATTGAACTCATATTCTGGAAAATTGAAGCCAATGGCTCATTGTACTCAGTGGAATGGGGAAGCACACAAAGGCACACTTATGGGATGCTAGAGCATTTCAAAAGTGGGACATTTATCATTACTTAAGCAATATTTACAAATGCAGATGGCCTGCTTTTTATAAAAATAGATTACACAGCCACTTATGGATTATTATTTGAGGTGCTACAAAATGTCTATATGTCCCTGATATTGATCCCACACTCCTCTGTCACCATGCCACATTTCTAGGAATTTTCACCATTTTGGATGACTCTACTGTTCCTTCTCTAGGTAACTGTGTCACTCAAAAATAGTAGCATATCAGCCATTAAAGGAAATTAAGGCATAGCAATGTTTCATATATCAGATTGCTGCACCCTAATACTGTACATTAATTTCTTTCATATATTCATTGATATGGCTCTTCTGTGTAAATTTCCAGGAGCCTAATTCAAATTTTTATTACTATAAATGACTTCATTGAACATATGAATTGCAATAGTTTCACCAATAAATACTTGAAAATACGGCCTAAATTGCATCAGTCTTACTCCAATTCTTGCAAGCTTCATGGCTCATAAACAACTGAGGTCAAAAGCACTCAAGGGCTTTCTAGAATCTCTAAGCCATGTTTCTGCCTCTACTCATTTCTCTTCACTCTCAATACTAATTTCCCTTTCCTCTAAATGATATGATTTTGAGGGTTCCCCATGTTCCCAGATCCCCAATTCTCTCAAACTCAGCTTTTTGTCCTCTTATTGCATTCCTATCTACGACAGTGTCTTAGAGTGGCCAACATTTCTGTCCTCACAGAGCTCTCCAGCCCACAAGACCTTTGGGAACCTTTCATGTAATCTGTTATCAAGCAAGATTTCTTACCTTTGGCAGAGATGCCCTGGAGCCTGAACTCTGGGTGGTCATCGTTAAGACGGTGGTGATGCCCAGTGCGACCCTGGCAGGGGCTGCGTCCATGTTTATCCAAAAGGAAACCCAGGACAAAATTACTATAAGCAGGCTTGGGATATACATCTGGATCAAATAATATCCCATTTGGCGTTCCAGATGAAACTTGACCTCAATGCAGGTAAACTTTCCTAGAAGGAGTAAATGATCATTTAAAGTCCAGTCTGAATTTATATTTCCAATTCCGCTATCCCACGTTGTTTAAAAAAAAAAAAAAGACTACTGCAGATGGATTTGGAAGATTGCACAAAATGTTCACCCTACATAACCAATTCAACTCTTCTCCAACTGAACCAGTAATAGAAATAATTACTGTGGAATAATAGTGATAATAATAGTGTGAGAATGTGTGATCTAAAGAGTCACTGGACCAAAACCATAAGGCATATTTAATTTTTAAAATCTGTGCTTGCTGCAGCTTGATTGTTTTAGACAGAGCTTCAGAATTTACAAGACTGACAGAAAATTACCAGTGGAAATAAAATATTCAAATTTTGTGTGGTTATAATATGTAATATATAGTATATTCTATTAATAGCATATACTATATGGCATATAATATGTAACACATGACATACACTGTATAATAGTTGAAGCCATTTCCTCCAAAGAAGTACAGTTTACATAAAACTACAAAGTATTTAAAGAACTGTGTATCTATCATTGTGTTATTAATGGCAAGAGAAAAATGTACATTTGTATAAGCCAGTGTATAATCTAGTCATTGTAAAAATTTCCTAGCCTTCTGGGTAATTGCTTCAGTACATTTAGCATATGCCTAGGAACTATGTACATTGTTTCTTTCCCTGTAAAAAGGAGGTCATATAAAGGCATTAAAACTTTTAACATTTAAGAGATAGATATTTCTACCTCTTCCCACTTTTTTTCTCCTTAATTGACTTGGAGTTAGAACCCCAGAAGGTAATTTTGCTTATTCCATACAGATTACAAGACATCGGGTTGAATCCTTGGTCAGAAAAAAAAAAATCCTTGGAATCAGGTTTTGGTTACTTCATAAGTATCACCGTTGGCTGCTGGAACAAGTGTGCATAAACTGTTTTCCCCAGCAAGGGACCTAGATCAGTTACTGGACAAACCATCATGTCTTGATTGTCTCTCCATGATCAACTTGCATGGTACTGAACACCATGGTTTTTCTTGGGAAAAACCATCAACTTTTCTGGACAGGTAAAATCTTCCAGAAAACAACAGATGCCTATTTGTTGCTACCACCTCAAGTTCTTCCTCCACCACCTGTCCCCCAACCCCATGTGTCTGTCAGTACTATTGATAACACATGACTTTAGAGCCAGCTGAATTCCTGCCAGCTGACTTTCATCCAAATTTCTATTACTATCTAGGACTGAAGAACACAACAGCTCTATTTCTGGGTTTACAAAGACCTGTGTTATTGTCCCTCTATTCCACTAGGCACTAAGACAGTAAGGCAGAGGGTGCAAATTTACCTAAGCATCCAATGGCAAGAGCGGATGCCAGAAAGGAGCCAGAATTCATGTTTTCTGCACCACTAATGAGGTTTTCTACACCTTTCCCCAGACTCATTTGACAACAGATGGTCAGCTAGGGAACAGCGAAAGATCCTAAATCCTCTCTCCTTCTCTCTATGTTCTGGAGAAATTACCTCTTGTGTTTGCTGACCTATTCCAGAGAGTATGGGAATCTTATCTGTTGAGGGAGTTTTGAGTCAAATCAGGTCCATGCCACATAGGTCTATTTGCCTGGTAAATATGCAGCAATTAAAGTAACGAGATATATACGCCAAGCTGCAAATGGAGCTCACTTGTGTTTAACAGCTAAAAAAAAAAAAAAAAAAAAAAAAAAAAAAAAACACTTACCAGTGTTGTAGTGCTTTGTGCAGTAGCCAAGTTCCTTCTCTTCTTTCAAAATAAACTGGGGCAGGGTCAATCCTTCAGCAACTTGCACTGGACCATCGCTTAACCACTCAAATATCAGGTCATTCATCGTGTACCCAACTGAGGTAAAGAAATCATAGTGAAAATTGAATATGGCTTTCCAAGAAAGCTTGAAAGTCTACCCATGTAAAGAAACAAACAAGGAAACCATCTAAAGCGGACATATGCTCAGTCAATTCAACAGCATTCTTAATAAAAGAGCTGCAATCATCACTACAACTCTGTGTCATTGGAGCCAAAGAAATTTAAGACAGAAAGCTACTTATGGGTGGATTTTTTTTCTGTGTAATGAAAGAATGGAATCTAAAAAGTTTATTGATTTCTGCCTTTTTATTCACTAACTCTTTCTGAAGAACAAACAAGTAAACAAACATAAAAATCCTTTGAAGATTGTCTTTACTTGCAAGAGCTGAGGCTTTGGCAATTCAATAAGACAATCCAATCCACAGTGCCAGTCTTAGTACTTCAAATGAAAACCATTCTTTTTTTAAATGAGAATCAATTCATCACGGGCCTGCCTAAAACATTCCCATTGCAGACTTGGCCCTCCTCCTAGGGTCTATTAGCTTTGCATTCAGAAAGCTTATGTTAAAGTCCTTCTACTTTAGCAAATGGGGAAGACTATTGGCAGGTAACCTAAGAGGAAATTGTGGGATATGCAAATTAAGAATATTCATTTGTGCTAGTGTCTTGCTAAATGGGCCCACTCCTCATAATTATTAACATGAAGTAAAACAGATTACCTATTATGAAAAATCATATTGTTATATGACTCAAATCATCCAAAATAAGATTGTTATCAGTTTGGTAATCCAAAGTTAGCTCTTAGTCTCCAGGCTCCTGCTAGCTAGGTCATCATCTGTCAGTTGTTTCTGGATCTTTCTCTACCCTAGAAATGAAGCCTACTCTTCTTTCATGCACCATTTCTCTACCTTCTCCCTTTGTTTGTAATATTTGAACTTTTCAAATAAGAGTGATGAGGACAGGGGATGTTATGTGAGGTCTTGGCTGGTCAAAAACCTCAGCATGGTTTTTTTAAGTGTATGGATTCTTATTCTTATTTACTGCAAGATAGTGACTCACCAAAGCTACCCAGAAATCAATGGCAAGTTTAATTGTAATCTACTTTCCTGTTTCTTTATGTTGAAAAGGACTACCTTTTCAACATAAAGCCCCCCCCCCCAAAAAAAAGAAGAAGAACATTTAAAGCAAGGAGATACAAAGAGGCCCTATACAAGCACTGATGATCCTCAAAGAGAATGGCAAACCCTATCTGTATGGGTACACCTTGGAAACCTCCAGCAAATAGTACTCTAAGCTCACAAAATACCCCATGTTCTTGTCTGTTAAGCTTCTCGTTGGCCACCACAATAAAAGTTCTTGTCAGTCACCCTGAAGCCTCAGCATGGGGAAGACAGCAGAGGTAAAGAGGTAGGGATGAAGAAAGTAATAATGGGATAGAAAAGGAAAAAAAATTATAATTCCCACCCTTCACATCCAAAGTTAGTGGTAAACATGATGTTTCTTTGATTTCATTATTCATGCCAGGACTGAGCTTATTTACTAATCCAAATTTTCTAAGCCTTGGATGAGCATCAGTTGACAGCTACGGCTACTGTTTTACAGAAAAAATAAAAGTGTTGGGTTGAGTCGGGAGATTTTGGAGCAGTAGAGAAAATAGAAAGAAGGAATCATTATGTAAGAAAATGTTTTTCTCAGCTTTCTTCTCAAGAGAAGGAGCGATAAGGAAAAAAGTATATAAGGCCTATTTTGAATCAGAAATTTTCATTTTATCTATGACAACTTCTTAAAGAGGTTTCATCATTTTGTTTATTTCTCTGGGATGTTTCAAGGAAAATCCATAGTGATTTTAAATGATCAGAATGAAACCAACCCTGTCACTACCTCTTTTTAAATAATAGATGTCTTTTTACACATATTATTTTTCTAAGCCAAGAAGTTAAAAGTATTTCCTTGCCCCTGCCTCATTAAATCTCCTAACATCCATGTAGGTCACGGGCACTTCTTATTCTCTGCATTTTACAAACAGAGAAACTGATCGACCAAGCCAGAAAGAAATTCATGTTTCTTAACTGAAAATTCTGTTACCTTGGAGGCATCAGCAACTTATGGTGACACATGTCAAAGATTTTAGTGGCATCAGGGTTAGGTAATAAAGGGGACAAAGTAGATGGGGGGTTTTCTACTTGCTTCACCATGCTTTTGTGTATCCACTGCTTATCTAAGAGAAATGCCTCTTATTCTAATTCCATCTCATCTCATGCTCCTCATTCTTACATCCTCCTCTGCCCAAGGTCGTTATGTCTTGTTCTCAAAGCAATTATCCCATCCTGCCAGAATTCCTTTTGGGGTGATGGTCTATACGGGCATAAGATGGAAAGAAACTCAATTTTCTGATTAAAGAGTGATTCACTATAAAAATTTAATGACTAATAATTTTAATTTTCCCAGGAGACATTTTCATTTCAATGAAAAGCTTACTAAATCAGGCTATTTTGCGGCGTGGGGGGGACAAAGGAAAGTTATTTGGCATTTTACTTTGAAAGGTTGTCTATGCTGTATTGATAATGAGATTTTGTATGACACACACACACTTTGGTTTGTCTTTCCATTAGGATGTTGTGGGTTGGTCAGTATATAGGGAATGAGTCATAAGGGTCCTTTCTCTTTAATTACATACTGAAAGAACCAGGTCATTGGTTAAAACAAGCAGGGAGTCATTTCAACAGTGGTGACTTACAACTCTCCAGCTGCATTGTACAGGTCTGGACATCCATCGGAAAGTTCTTCAAGTCCATGGGACAGGATAGGGTCAAGGTGAGTCTTAACAAACAAAAAAAAATTAAAAACCATTTTTAAATCTATGAAGTCCACTTGTTGAGAAACAAACAAAAGACACTTGGCATTAAGCAAAGTGACATTGATTCAAATAATGAAATCTAAGCTCCAAATCAGGGCAGTGCTTTTTGTTTTCAAAATGAAGAACAGTCATTGATAATTTTTTAAAAATATTGTAGTATTTCACCATAACCTCTTACTCTATTTTTCATCTTCCAGCCTCTGATTCTCCCTCCTTCCCCAAAAATGGTGCTGTTCTCAGCTTTGTACTAGAATAAACAAGACCACTGAGATATAACTTAACAAGAACAATAGACTCTTACCCACACTAATGTCCAAAAGATATAAAGTTTATACTATTTTAGAATTATACCTTGGACTTTGCTTCAAGGACAGAAATGATGTAATAAGTGTAATTGATCATGGTAAGTGCTAGTTCTTCTTACATCAAATGGGCAAATGCTTAACTCCACAGTCTTCTCATTTACTACATGGATAGGTTAACAGTATATTTTAGCATTTATTCTAGAATTTTGATAATTCTGGAGCAAGTAGTTCTTGAGCTAGAAAAACCCATTTAATGATGATGGTTTATTTAATTAAGTCCCACGTATTTATCTTTGTTTTTATTGCATTTGTTTTTGGGTTCTCAGTCATGAAATCCTTGCCTAAGCCAATATCTAGAAGGGTTTTTCCAATGTTATCTTCTAGAATATTTATAGTTTTAGGTCTTAGATTTTAGTCCTTGATTCATCTTGAATTGATTTTTGTATAAGGTGAAAGATGAGGATCCAGTTTCATTCTCCTACATGTGGCTTGCCAATTATCCCAGCACCATTTGTTGAATAGGGTGTCCTCCTCCTACTTTATGTTTTTGTTTATTTTGCATGGCAAAAGGAACAGTCAGCATAGTAAACAGGCAACCCACAGAGTGGGAGGAAATCTTCACAATCTATACATCTGACAAAGGACTAATATCCAGAATCTACAATAAACTCAAACAAATTAGCAAAAAAAAAAAAACAAACAATCCCATCAAAAACTGGGCTATGGACATGAATATTCTCAAAAGAAGATATACAAATGGACAACAAACATAAAAAATGCTCAACATCACTAATGATCAGGATAATGCAAATGAAAACCACAATGCAATATCACCTTACTCCTGCAAGAATGGCTATAATCAAAAATAAAAATAAAAAAAAATAGATGTTGGCATGGATGTGGTGAAAAGGGAACCTTTCTACAGGGAATGTAAACTAGTAAAACCACTATGGAAAACAGTGTGGAGATTCCTTAAAGAAAGATAAGTAGAACTATTATTTGTTCCAGCAATCCCACTACTGGGTATCCACCCAGAGAAAAAGAAGTTATTATATGAAAAAGATATTTGCACACACATGTTTATAGCAGTACAATTCGCAATTGCAAAAATGTGGAACCAGCCCAAATGCCCATCAATCAACAAGTGGATAAAGAAACTGTGGTACATATATATGATGGAATACTACTCAGCCATAAAAAGGAATGAATTAATGTCATTCACAGCAACCTGGATGGGATTGGAGACCATTATTCTAAGTGAGGTAACTCAGGAATGGAAAACCAAATACCATATGTTCTCACTCGTAAGTGGGAGCTAAGCTATGAGGATGCAAAGGCATAAGAATGACACAATGGACTTTGGGGATGCAAGGGGAAAGGGTGGGAGGGAGGTGAGGGATAAAAGATTACAAATTGGGTTCAGTGTATACTGCTCAGGTGCTGGGTGCACCAAAATCTCACAAATCACCACTAAAGAACTCAGTCAGGTAACCAAATGCCACCTTTCCCCCAAAAACCTATGGAAATAAAAAATTTAAAAAGAAAAAAAAAGGAAAAACAAACTACTCATTATCTTACAAAACAAACAAACAAACGATGGTTTGTACATAGTCTTCAGCTCTCTGCACCCAGTAAGGGTTACTCTGCTCCACTTTCCTCTTTCCTTAATTTTTTTTGAACTCCAGTCAGCTCTGGCTGATCCTTATATCAGGATATTCGTTGAGCTACCATCTCATTTCCACCATATCCCTTTTTAATCCTCAAGGGAATGATGCACACCTCTTGCTCTCCCATTTTTCTATATCTCCAAGATTCAAGGAAGGAAGTTAGGATTGAGAATTAGTAAATCTTGGTTCCCTTCCTAGCACTGCCTCTAACTATCTCTTCCCCCAAACAAGACCTTAAACTTGCTAAACATTTGTTTTGTCATCAACCAAATGATGAGGTAGGTAAGATGATGCTTATTCTCATTTGATCCTAATACTACAATCCCTATTTTTCTAAAGTTGACTGCTTCAAATTCTGTTCATCGTATCTCAAACACCTTTTATATCCAAAGACCCCACGAAATCTCACACTGTTGCCCAAACTCTCCTTTGCTGTCATGCTCATTCTTGCTCTGCCTTCCTGGTTCCTTTATCTTTCCTTTCTCTGCTTCATTTTTACAATCTAGCAAACGAAACAAAATTTAACACGTGTATTTTAAAGAAAGGAAAGGGTTGCGATTTGAAGTCATATTAGACAAAGAATCCATGCTGACAATCATCAAAATTATTAAAATATAATGATTGGAAAAATAAAGATATAAAACAGTGTAATGTGAAAACATGTTTTAAATCTTGGAAATAAACACACCATTATATTAAGATTAGATATTTTTGGTTAGTGGGATGATTCATATTTTGTTTTTATTCTTTATCTTGCATTATCTGAATTGAGAAGTATAAATTATTTGAAAATGTCCATAAAAACTATTTATAACAGCTTTCCCATCTTCATGTAATTAGATGTGCCTTTCTTCAAACAATAACTGAAAAGTAAAATTATAAAATTCCATTTTGTTCAGTAATTTTTTGCTATTATAATCATACGATTATTAAAAATTTGTCACAAACATATAGCATTTCACATTCATTGCTAAATAAATTAGCTACCTTCTGTGGGCTATTCTGAGAACCCAAACATGTCTCTAAAGGAAAAAACGTGGCTTATAGTTCTAAACAACTGACTTAAAAATAACATTTTAGGCAGGAAAAATTGTTGTCATTTATGGAGTTCGTGTGTAGATATAGGTATAGATATACAGATATTTAGTTTTTGTTTCCCAGCATAAAGACTTTATTTTTTTGAAAACACAATTTTGTGGAGATTAATGCCGTGAACTCTTTGAAATGAGGACAGAATAAAAGAACCAAAAAAAAGTAAAAAAGAAAAAAAACAGAACTGGCACCTTATTAAGGGTGAAAAAAATTCAAAAGGCTCCATGAGCTTAAAATTGTTATTACCATAATGAGAATCTATTTTTTTCTGTTTTTCAAAGAAGAAATAAATATTTTCATCATACAAAAATATGTTCATTCATAACTTGGCTATTATGAATAGCACTGCAAAAGGAAACAAAGCCTCAATTAGACAGAAGGACTAGATTTTTCTTTCTTGGAGATATATTGCATAGCATGGTGAAAATAGTAAATCATAATGCATTATATATTTCAGAATTGCTAAGAGAGTAAATTTCAAGTGTTCTCACCATAAAAAATAGTAAGTATTTGAGGGAATGGATATGCTAATTTGCTTGATTTAATAACTCCACATTCTATTGATAAATCATAACATCACTTTGTACCCCATAAACATATAAAACTATAATTTGTCAATTTTCAATTCAAAAACTTAAAATTAAAATTTTAAAAAATGTTCATTATATGAAAATAACTAGATGGTATGTGGATAATTGGTTTCAGTGAATCAAAACCAAAAAATCTGGAAATTTCATTATAGTTTTGAAAAGTTTACTTTTAAGAAATTAAAAATAATGATAATAATGAAAATGAACACACCTTAAAAGAGCATGTTAAGAACATCACAGAATTCAACTATATATTGCTTTGTTATTAGAAACAACCCAACTTTAATATTCCTAATCATAGGCTTGCTGAATTTGATGGTTTTGCAAAACGACCTTTTCACATTTCTTCAGGAAGCAGAGGTCTCACACACAATTATTGCTGCCTTTGGGGCAGATCTAACTATCCTAGAGGGGCTCCGCAGTTTGGGAGTCAAAACTATTAACAGCATGGGAGACCCCACTGAGATAAATTCCTAACACGCAGGACCCTATCCCTGAATCTTGTCTCAGCTGAGAACTCAGTGTTTTTTTTTTTTTTTTTCTTCTTCTTTGTTTTTCTAATTTCCTTTCTAGGAAGCTCACAGAGTTTAAGCTTTGTTCCCAAACTTATAAAACCAGTGAGTGACCAAAGTTAGATTTGAATACAGCTTTAACCGACATCAAATTCCCTTTATTATTTCCCACACTACCACATTTCACATTTCCTCCTTAGGAAAATAATCTGTCAGGCCGGGCGCGGTGGCTCAAGCCTGTAATCCCAGCACTTTGGGAGGCCGAGACGGGCGGATCACAAGGTCAGGAGATCGAGACCATCCTGGCTAACACGGTGAAACCCCGTCTCTACTAAAAAAATACAAAAAACTAGCCGGGCAAGGTGGCGGGCGCCTGTAGTCCCAGCTACTCCGGAGGCTGAGGCAGGAGAATGGCGTAAACCCGGGAGGCGGAGCTTGCAGTGAGCTGAGATCCGGCCACTGCACTCCAGCCTGGGTGACAGAGCGAGACTCCGTCTCAAAAAAAAAAAAAAAAAAAAAAAAAAAAAGGAAAATAATCTGTCACCAATTTATTATCCTCCTTTGTCTATGAAGCCAGCAGAGTTGGTCATAGACACCTTAGTTGCCTTGTACCTGCTCAGGGATACCCCTTTTATTTTTCCTCAGACACCCAGAATTCTCATGGCCTGTTGTTTTAAAAACTCCTCCGGCCTCTCCCGGCAGCCCAGAAACCTGGGTGATAGACCTGGCTTACCCATAAAGAGCTATTTGATCTTGACTAAATCTCTGGGCCTCCCCCAAAAAACATCCCCATCCTG